AAGAAACAAGAAAAACAAGTTAGAAAAATCATCAGACGATAAGGGATCGACCTCGGAGGGATAAGCAAACTACCAGGTGAAACAGTCCACCCATGGTAATTCGTGACCGCCACGTCCTCGGCGGACTCGTTGTTAACCCTGACAAAGAAGTACCAATAAAGCCAATCGTTGGTCTTGCTCTTCGCACCGACGACCAACTTTGGGGTCAGCGAAGACTGGGTATACACCAGGCCCGGCTTATATTTCCCAAAATTCTTCTTCGTCGTCAACTCTTCGTACAGGGAACAATGAGGCTCGATGCCGCACCGCTCTGCCAGACGGATCAGACCGTAGGCATTTCGAATTGCAGCAGGGGATAGTTGCGAAAAAGCCATCTGCCGCCGCGAAGCGTACTGTAGGAGGAAAGCAGGAATCAGGAAAGTCAGCCCGCAGTCAGTGATATGCTTCTCGTAGACGCAGAGATAACCCGGCGGGGCCGTCCAAGGTCGATCTAAAGCACTTGGAACCAATGTGTCAAGATTAGCCGGGGCGTCACAGAAGCGCAGCGAAAGCTCGATCGATTCATCCGTTGACGACGATGGGCGAAGATAATCCGCGATACCAGGTGCCGGACCCCTAGGTTGAGCAGGAACGACATCTAGACGACCTGGAATTACAGGCGCTGCGCCGCCAGACGGACTCGGTCTGGCCAAAGCTGTTCTTCGTCTAATCAGCGGGACGTCATCCTCGTTCGAAAACGCCGTGTTGCTGTCCTCATCACGAAGATACATCGTCGCGACAGGCCTAGAAGCAGCGCTCGGTCCAGCAGCTCCTGCTCGGCATAAGAGCTCACGACGTTGTAACTCCACAGCGTCTGCCGAAGCCCCTTTGACAGACGACGCCAACGTAGAAGAAGATCTAGCTCTACGACCCCGACGACTATTAGGCGACTCGTTCAAAAAACAATCGACAGATCGGACGGCAGAATCCTCGGTGGTGCGCGATTGACGATGATCGGAAAAGGAATCCCGGGAACCGTAACTGGAAGACATTATCGGAAAAAGAAAACGACGAACTGAAGAAAAGAAGAGAGAGAACAGAGAAAAATACCTTCTGTTGATGCGGAGGAAGAATGAAAAAAAAAGGAAGGAAGCGAGGTATTTATAGAGAGAGTCGGTCGAGCCAAAACGCGTCATCATCACACCTCGAAGAACGGCGTCATCATCACGACCTCTCCGCCTTCAACATGCAAGCGACCCGATAATCGAGGCCTCGGGAGCAGCAGTAGACGAATCGGAAGAGGGCGTTCATCACACGCGCCTCGAAAACGTGCGCAAGAAGTCAAACCGGGGCGACGAAATGATTACAACCCTAGCAGTGCCATTTGCTACGCACTAGGGTTGGGGGGCTACTGTTGATGGTAGATTATGGGCCCGGGCCCATAATCCCATCTTGGGCCTTCAACTCGACGAGACGGGCCGAAGAATCAGATTTTAAGGGTCCGGCCCATTAAGAGTTTAGTTTCAGAAGGGCCCAAGCCCAGTAAGTATTACACCGACCAAGAGGGGTAAAAGGGGGATTTAACCCGTACAGGGTACCCTACTTCTGCACCCTATAAATAGTAAAAAGGAATGATTGTAAAGGTGATCCCGAAATAACCGCTTTCACAGAGAATTTCGTACAACCGTTAGAGCACTTTGCGGCTCGGCTCGTATACTCAGTTTTCTGCTCGTCTATTTTTGTAATCGTCGGCTCGTCATTAAATAAGAGATTCTTCTTTCACCCTTAAGACTCCGAATACGTACTTGTGTGATTTTGAGGATCAACAGTGAACTACTCGATATCTACATTCACCCTAGAAAATTAGTCGGATGGTAAAGTGTATATATATATATATATATATATAGAATTTAATAAATGGTTGTCTGTTAAGTAAAATATGTTTTTAGAAAGGTTTACTATAGATTTTATCGACAGAATAATCAATTACTAACATAACAAAAACTCTATAAAAAAGAACTCAATAAAAAAAAATTGACGATCAAAACAAGCTAATAATACGTCGAAATTTCATACTAGAATTTAGTCATTATATTTCGTTGGACCAATGTTTAGATCCGTGAGTCATTAGAGTACTGTGAATCCAATATCAATAAGTATGAAAGCAGTTCATTAAACGTTGTTCATGTGATATTTTCCAGTCACACATGCATGCCATTCACCTACTAATCGTATTATCATCATAATGTCTGGCTGCGTGACCATTCCAAATTTCTAACAAATGAGTTTTCTAATAGTATAATACAAACAGATTATTGCTTTGACTATAAAATGTGCGGCATTATAATTTATAATAGTGGTTAGAACTTTTTGAAACTTACTCATTTAATACTATTACTTTGTTGAAATTAGGTTTCTTGGATAATGAATATTTCACTAACCCATTAACCGATTCAGACGTAACTACTAGTTTGAACAATGGCGATATATAGTGAAGCGATTCAATAACTTAAAAGTACTCCTACACACCAACTTAGTTGTTAATCTTGACGTACATATATAATATTAATGTAATAAAATCTAAAACCAAACAAATTCAATAAAATCAGACCATGTCACTAAATATATGTATATTTTCTTCTGTCGACCATATTACTGCATAAAGTTATGTATGCATGACTTTAAACAATAGGAAAAATACATGTTTCGTCGTCATTGGATTCTAGAAATGAACCCTTGGCAATATAATAGGGTGAGTAGTTGACTTTGGAAGTATTCTTGACTTCCTTAACACGTGACTTTATAATCATCAATGACGTCATGGATTCATAATTGTCATCAATATCACGATTATCTGTATTTTATTCGAATAAAAAAGGAGATCGGAATCAAAGCTTCTAGATATCATAAAAGAAGAAAGTTCATTCACCTGACAACCATTAATGAAAAAAATAAATCAATCACACACATATATTTTATTTTCTAGCATTCACAATAGGAGATTTATGTTTTTGTAGTTCAGATATAAATACTGATAAGCTCTAACTGACATAATAACAATTTTTATATGTCCGTAAGACCGTAACTATTGACTATTGTATGGAGGATATGTAGCAAAAGCTTGAAATATTGAAATTCCCTTTTTATCATTGTAGCAAAAGCCTCAAATATTCTATTGAAAAAGCCCTTTTGGAATCATAATGTAAAACATCTTAGAGAAATAAAATTAGGGATGGTACATCAGACCCAATAAGAAAAAAATGGGGCTGCTGCTCCAATAATTGACAGAGGAAAGCCCAATAGGAAATCCGAAATCATGAAGAATTTTAAGGCCACAAAGCTACTCGTGTTAGTAAATTAATACGTATTAATTCAATATTTTGTAAATTTGTAATGTTTTTTTCCATAAATATCTAAAACTGAAAAAAAAAGACTTGGAACTTTCACGCATGAAATGCATGTGTCTTAAATCAGATACAATAGTAAGCAGTAGATTCAAGCACAAAAATTATAATCTGAAACAATATGTGTATATATTTAATGATCTGACAAAAACTTCCTTTTATAATGATGGAAAGCGTAGAGTGTGTCACCAAAGCCGGTCCAAAGTAATTAGTGGCCGCAAGCAGGAAACAAAATTTTGGCCAAGTATTATCGATTAATCAAAAAAATAAAAAATTCTATTGTAAGCGTCAAACTGGCGACTTCAACGCTTTAAGTGTCTCATGTTTACCAGCAGAACTATTGAACATATTGTAACAAAAGTAGCCGATTAATTAGATGTAGATAGAAGCGGTCGCAAGCCTAAGCTTGGCTTACTTTTTTTTTTTTTTTTAATAAACCCTATCGGCTGATCCGGTCAGCTCTGGTAGAAACGCACTGAAGTGCTTAAGAGTGGACTTCTTCCGGAAAGACGACCATACTATCTGTTCCGAATTTGAAAATGTTTTCCGACTAATGCCAGGGGATAGCCAGATCGCCTGTTACTGACTACTAGGTAAACTGCTTGGGCCAAAGACCCAAACCCAGACTTCTCCCACAAATGTAATTTTTGTTTCCAGTGTGGATCGAACCTGAGTTAGTTCATTCCAGTGTTCTAAAATACGCTAGGCGATAGTCGGGCGGTGGATCCACCGTATAGCGCCTAACTGTATATGCGGCTGTATATGCGGGGTATATACAGTGAATATATTTTTATAAATATATATATATATATATATATAATATAAATATATTGTAAATATATATAATATCATAAAAAAAATAATTGTCAAAAAAAATAAAAGGAGTTTCACGTTAAACTCCAACTCTCAAAAAATAAAAACATAATGACAACCGTATTTAGATAAGCAGCACCGTATAAGTGGTAGTATTGAGCCGTATAACATCGTATAATGACCGTATTGAGCCGTATAACGTCGTATAATGGCCGTATAGCGTCGTATAAGTGGCCGTATTGAACCCAACCGTATTTGTTAAACGCATAGCTTAAAAACAGTACAGTAGTCTGCTGTATAGCGTATAACTACCGTATATACGGCCGCCTAAGACGTATTTTAGAACATTAGTTCATTCCAAATTTTTCCCCAATTCTCAACAACTATTGGACCACAGCTGTGCGGACCGCTTGGCTTACTTGTAGTCATGGTCGGTTATGTGTGTCACTTATGAATGTTATAAGGCAAGTGTATAAGCATTTTTAAGCATTTTTAAATAGTTAATATATAGACTGCGATTATAATAATTGAGATAAGTTTTGGTTACTGTTTTGGTGCAATTTTATTGATTTTTGTTGGATATGAAGACATTTAGAGTTTTAATCATCATTAGGGATAAAGTTGGCTGTTTTTAATGATATTTAAGATGTCATGGGTTTAATTTCATGCTTTAATTATATTTTAATATATAGATGTTATGGGTTAAATATAATTAATGGTTAGTTCCTGCACTTTGATTTTCCATGTAGGGTTTGTTTTTCTTGATTATAATTATTAAAAATCAGCAAAAAAAACAATGAAAGATGACAATAACGTAGCTTATATATATTTTACACTTGCCTTATACATAGTTAAATAAACACAGATTAAAAGGTGTCACAAGTTTCTTAGAGCTAAGTAAGCTAGAACCCTATAAAGAAGCAACATAATGGCAAGAGCCAAAACATCCCACATCATATTCCCGATTCTCAAATTCCTAATCCCTTCATAATCCATAACACTACAATGCAACCCTGATCCACATTCATAAACCTCACCCCATGTGTATTGAACCCCAACAAGAAGCTTATAGCAATAGTGGCTAAACGAAACATACTTCAACCACGCGATAAAACCCGGAATATGTTGAATATAGTACCCTCCGGCTAGTAAGAACACTAGCATTAACACCGAAGACAATGTCGCGGCTTTCTTTGCGTCCATCAAGATTGCCCCTAGAGCTAACCCTACGCCTTGAGCCACTAGAACATTGTAGAGAACGATCATAAGGGTCATGATGAATGTGGTTAAAGATGGCTTAAGGCCTCCCATCCAATATGTGATTGTGACAAAGATCGTTGGAAGAATGAGTTCCATTGGTAAATCGCCGACTGTTCTTGCTATGTAGTAAGAGGAGAGTCTGTAGATTCCGGAGGATCGCTCTTTTATAAGCATCGGTCGTTCTTGAGGGAATGTAAAAATGGCGTTGAAGAGAGGGAAGAATCCCCAAAATATCGAGAAGAAGAACAATAAACCCACCTGTTATAGTGAACACAGAATATTAATGAGGTAATATATATGAGTTTTGACTACGATTTATCTTTTTCTTATACGTTAGAATATTGTAATTTAGTTTTCCTATATCTTTTGTTTCGTTTCACTATAAGTTATATCTTTGTTAAATGGAATTTATTCTAAAGACATGTAATGGTATATATAATTTATATATAACCAACAAAGTCCATTTGAAATGGAAGAAGAATCTTTTTTTTTTGTGTGATAAGGAGGACAAATCAATTATTATTTTTCAATAAAAAATACAAAAAGTCATTTGAAAAATAAATTAAAATGTTTTTAAAATATTCATTAAAAAACCGTACACTTAAAACACTAGAAAATATATTTTTGTGTTATCATGTTTGTGAGTGTGTGTGTATATATATATAGTACTTTATACTTTTAAAAGAAATTTAGTAATATATATATATATTAATTGTATTTTCTGTTTGATGTCAAATATATTGATCATGTTTAATATAATCAAAATTTTCAATACCATGGTTTTTACCTGATCTTGTAAGTGAGCAACGCGAGAATGCCACCATAAGAGGCCAGAAAGTAAAGAAACTGACATGACCATAAATATTCTAAGTCCTGAAAATGATTCGTGACTTCTCTCTTTTAAACCTCGTTTCAGTAGAACTGAGAATTGCATCCACCAACTCGTTGGCCATCGATCTTCATAAATCCAAAAACATGATATATAATTGAGATCAACACAAAATTGTGTCATTTTTAAATGTTATATAATGACTTGAAAAGACTTACTGGTATAGCTGTTGACAAAAAAAAAAAAAAAGACTTACTGGTTAATAATGACTTTGTTCTCGATCTAGTGATCGTTTGATCTTGTGGAAATGTTCTAGACACTTCTTCTTTCAAAGGTGGATACAAATTCTTTTTGTAAGACGATATTAACGATTGTTTCACGGAGTTTTGTTCTTCAAGCCGATCTAATCTTCCATTTATTTCGACTTGATCATATTGTTTTGTATCCGAAGTAATTCCTGCAAAAATATATTCCAAACATGCATTAAAAAAAAATCAAGAATTGTATACTATATATATAGAGAGTCAAAAGCAGCATATTATAACCACAATATTATTTATCCCACTATTAACAAACCTTTTGTTTCTCTTTTAACACTGATTTAAATTAAAAAGTGACAAAACTTTTGTTTCTCTTTTAAAACTGATTTAAATTAAAAAGTATACAAAGAATGGGATAGAATTGTCGTTGTCACATATCTCATGATGCACAAGCAAATCAAAAGAAAGTGTGTAACTTTACACCCGAAGTTAGCTGTTTCAATTTTTTTTTCCCTTTCAAACTATAAAACATAAATGAATTTCGAATAGATTTTGTACCTACCATGAATCGGGACATGTAACGGTTTGTGCTAGTGGCGTAGCAGTGTTAATTATAACTCGGTGGCGTAGTATGCGTGTATGAATTGTGGACGATAACTAAAAAAGATTTAGTACTTACCGTTAGCAAGATCTAGCACAAAGTCAGCCGGGTTAACGAAACTGGATCCGGGTTGATACCCAATTGAACCAAGATACTCCATGACCCGACCCGAATTCCCACTATAAATAGGACATCCTTCTGATAAAACCAACACTTTATCAAACATCCGATAAAGCCGACTCGACGGCTGATGAATCGTCGTAACAACTGTCCGGCCGCCGCGTGCCAGCGATCTCAAGGTGGCGACTATTCGCACCGCCGTGGTTGAATCAAGCCCCGACGTTGGCTCATCAAGAAGCAACAAACTTGGGTTCACAAGCATTTCTTGTCCAATACTTACCCGTTTTCTTTCCCCACCGGAAATTCCTCGGATCAACCCGCCTCCTATTACACTGTTACAACACCGGGTCAACCCAAGATCCGAAACCACTGTCTCCGCCTGCTCTATCTTCTCTTTCCGGGTCAGCTCTTTAGGTAAACGGAGCAAAGCCGTGTACGTTAGCGTCTCCATGACCGTTAAGTGTGGGTAGAGAACATCGTCTTGTGTAACGAACCCCGTTTTCCGTTTAACGGAGCTTGTAAACGGTTCTCCGTTATAGCTAACGGTTCCTGATAGCTTCCCTTGTAAACGTCCGGCCAACGCCGTTACTAGCGTTGTTTTGCCACTCCCTGATGGACCAAGCATTGCTAGTAACTCCCCTGGTTTGACTATACCACTTACACCGTTAAGGATTAACCGGTTCGGTTTTGGTTCTTGTGAACCGAACCAATAGCTTCCTTTCCCGGTTTGTGATTTTATACTGTACGACAATTCCTCAAACTGCATTACATACACAAATCCAACGAAAAAAATTTATAACACGCAAAATAGGAAAATTACATAATTTATGATATATATATTAATTTCACGACCTTGAGGATTATAGGACGTAAAGATTGACGTAGAACAGAAGACTGTCTTGATTGGTGACTCGGACCGTCGTGGTCATCGTCAAGGCATGGGATTACATGACTTGGAGAGCTAAGCCGGTTATCTTGAACCGGACTAGTTTCGTGTCGGTTTGCGCCTGGTGTTTTCGGAAAGCTAGATTCTTGCTCATTAGGAGGCATCATCTAGAGAGAAAAAGAGAGAGGGACGAAGAGAGAGATTTGGTGTGTTGTGTTGAGAAGTTCACATGTTATGCGATGTGTATATAAAGGAAAGAAGTGGGGACTCTTATAACGAAGGGAAAATTAACTAGGAGAGAGAGACTTTATTCATAAGTACTCATAATGCAATATAATTAATTTTCCACTTTTAAAGTAGAGATAATGTCAACTTATAATTATTTATACAGTTTCATACACTGATAAACTGATAGGTGTTCAGTATTCTTCAATACATTACATAGGTCACTAAACTACTATGGCCTATCTAATTTTATTACTCCGCTGTAAAAGTATGAATATGTTATATAACTAATTTAAACGTTGTATAGCTAACTATTTTGTTTTGTTAAAAAATGTGCTATATCAATTTATACTATCCCCGTTGATATAATGCATGCCAATTTGAGCTAAAATTTGTATTAAATTACAAAACGATATGATAATGAAACGAATGTTATATTAGATGTGCTATTTATATATTATTATGAAATACTGATATTCTTACATATTCGAAAATTAATTTGCATTTTAAGACATGCAAAAGTAATAGAGGTATTCCAGATTCGATCCACCCTAGAAACAAAAAACACATTTGTATGGGAGAAGTCTGAGTTCGACTTTGGCCCAAGCAATTCACATGGTATTCGAGATTAGGCTAACTGGATACTCCGGACATTAGTCGGAAAGCAACTCAAACTCGGAATTAGGTAGTGTGGTAGTCCAACACCTAGATGTTGGCGACGAGTCCACATGGTAGTATTTCGGTGTGTTCTCCAGAAGCTGACCGGATGAGCCGATTGAGTATATATATATAAAAAGAAAATAATAGAAAAATTAAAACAAAAAAAAAAGTAATAGACAAAGTCTTCGTTTTCTTGAACACGTAGCATGTTTATGATGTCATAGCATGGACAAAACATAGTATCTTTTTTTGAGAGTGACAAAAGCAAAGCGTTTTACGTTGTTTCTGGTCCAGGATAATTTTAATTTGAACATGAACTCAAATGCACCAATAATTATTAGTTGCATTTCTACCTTTTAATTTTTAATTGACACTAAATGTGATTCGCTGAATTAAATGAGGAAACGTAGCTCGAAAAGAGAAGAAGAAATTAACATTATTGTTAAAAAGGTGGTTGGATTTGACACCAAAACAGAAAGCTAAGAACATTACAGAACAAAGTTATTATGCTTCATTGCGACACATTTATTCTAGAGATTCTATTCAAAGAGCCTAACCAATACAGCTGTATATATCATGTATACACCACAATTTTTTCCCGCCTATATATTGATAGAAAGTTAAAATTTACCAAATACCCCAAAAGCTTTTTTCTAATTAATATGATAACGCATTATTAAAAGGAAAAGATACATTCATATCAGACCTATTCTGATTCATACAACTATATATAAAAGTTGGCTAATTACATATATACACAATCATAATTTAACTAAAACATACATTGATCTACCGCCATTAATCGTCAAATTATGTTTGTTCATGTATGAAACTGGGCAAGTTTTATAGTTGGTGCATGCATGCACACTGACTTTTTTTTTTTCAATAGGCACCAATATGAATGATTGGTTCATTCTGTTTAATAAATCAAACATATAAGGATGAGATGGAAAGTGACATACAAATTGAAGTTAAAGGATTTGGAAGTATAAGAATTCAAAATGATGATAACTCCTTGTTCTTCTCAAGATTATGAAGCATGTATATGGGATAGCTCTAAGAACTTTAGAAAATTAAAGATGTTGGTTAAATCAAGAAACAAGAAAAGTATTGTGGCCCTTTCCTAATTAGTAATTAGTATTAGCTTTACGAAATATGTAAAATTGTATTAAAATATTTTTAAACAATAACCTACTAGTAGGAAACCAATAGATTTGATGGCTTCAAAAATTTCACCATTATTATAAAAGAAAACAAGTGGCCCTAAAAATAGAAATTGGCATTATCCTCATTCTTGATTTTAACCTTTTACATTCTTAACAATTTTTGTTATGTATATTCGATTTGAGTGTAAAAGAGAGAGTTTAATAAACTTCAAACTTTCTTTGAAATCGATCTTCAGCTCAACCTAAGTTAAGAAAATTGGCTAAAATAAAACAAATTTGCAAAATAAACTATAATCAGACGAGAATATATATATACCTACGGAAATATTAGGAATATTATATATCATGTGAAAAGGACTGGATAATGTCTGATAATGATGGGATGCAAAAGATTATTACGACACGAACACATAAATAAAAAGTTTTGAAAATTTCATTCAAGGAACAAGATTCTTGAATATAAGTTATTGACAAATTTACATTTCTATGAGAAATTTGTTTTTTTCTAGAATTAATATTTTTGTTGCAGATTAATAGGGAGGATAATTTGAATTTACAAAAAACAATGAAATCTTTTTACCATATAGGTTAACTTTATCCTTAACCCCTATGCTTTTCCTAAACAAGATTGGTCTAAATTATTCTTTTAATGAGAAAAAAGAAAAGAACAAGCAAGTCTTATCCTTTTACCCTATTCTTTTCACAAAATGTAAAAAATATTTACCAAGTCCTTGCTTTTGATGGAGGTAGTAACTTTGAATCTGATTCAGTGAAGTATTTATATATTTTCTGAGAAAAAAAAAAAATCGTGCCTGCATGAGGTAATATTATTCATCCATATTGGAATGAAAAGATCATATGAAAAACTACATATAATATATAAACACCATCGACTGTCACTAATCATAATCAAAGTTCGTATAGATAATGCATGATCTCTTGGAAATATTAATGGCTCCACTGAGCTTATATGTTCAATTAAATACTGATTTTCTTTCTTGAGGGATTTTCAGAACATTTTTATACGTTTTCTGATATTTTTTTCTTTCGCTATACGTTTTCTGATAGAAAAATAAAAATACGAATTTTATTTGTGTTGTGGGTGATTATTATAGGTGCTATTTTGGACGTGGCACTTGCTAGTTCGATGCTAACGATTTTGGGTAAGATTGTGTCTTCTCTTTCTTAAAGGAAAAGATAGTCTTCGTTGAATCATAATGTTCTCCAAACCTTTGATTGTTGTCTTTTTCCCTAAAAAATTCATCTAAAAAGAAATCTTAAATCAGAAAGTCTATTTGTTTAGGTGTCCGACGAATAACAATAAAACATTGCAAAAGAAGAAGAGGCGATTAAGATATTAATCGAATTGTCATATAATAATTTTTTTCCACAAAAATTGTAGATTTTATAGCTTTATGCCGAACCAAATCTTAAACACTAATCATTTACTCAAGGGACTTTGTAATTCTAAGTCAGCTTTAATGATGTACGTTTCAGTTGCTTTAAGTTTTTTTTTCTCTCTTTATTATTATCATATTGAGGAAAAATAAAGATGAGTACATGACTTCAAAGATATTAATAAGCAATATAATACTATATGACTATGTTAAAAAACAATGCTAAATGTGAGTTGATTGATCTATTAAGATCATCTCCAAAGGGGACCTTATATTTGAGGTTTGCCAAACCTTAAATTTGAGGTTTAGAGTTGTGTCTCTTCAAACGAAAATCTTAAATTTAACTTCAAAAGAATTTTTATTTTGCATAATAGTCCTTACTATTGATTATAATTAAAAAAAATCATAAAACTTTTATAAATAACAATAAAACATACATTAGAAATTTACAAGCAGTATTAACTAATAAGATGTTATATTATATTATAAAATTACAGAAAGTAATAATAAAAACACACAAACGAAATCATAAATTAAAACTAAATTTAAATTCTGTGCCATTTATTAGATCTCACTCCTCATCAACCGTTGGATTCAACTTCTATCTAAACTATAACTTATCCTAGATATAGATTAAAAAAAAATGTGAATTTCATCAACGTCATTCATTATATCTCCACTCATCACCAACCATTGGATTGAAATCCTATCCAAAATTTTAGATAAGAAAATCTACGAAATTGGTTTGTGGCCATTCCTTTGAACTAGGGTTTTCCATTCATTGTGTATAAATAATAGACTTCTATGGAATGATAATATCACAATTCGACTAACTCTTCTTGTGACTAAAAAATATGGAAAAAAAATAGAGGCTCATCATTCAATCAAAATGAAGATGAGTTGCTATGTTGTGTGTATCTAGAAATATCACAAGATCTAATTGGTAGTAATAACCAATCTGTGGGAAAATTTTGGGAAAAAATAAGTAAAAGCTACCACGAAAAGAAAACTGGAGGGCTGAGAAATTAGAAACATAAGATCTTTACAGAATAGGATGAATAACATTACATATGCTATTAGGAATCTGAAGAACTGCATCACCCAAGTGGAGAATATGCATCCAAGTGGTGCGTCCGAATTTGATATCGTAAGTACATTTGTTTTCTACTTAATTTATAAATAATTTTTTAATTAACAAATTCTATTTTTCAATATTCTGTAGATGAAAAAGGCCAAAAAACTCTACATACAAGATCCAAAACAAAAGAATGGTTTTAAATTTGACCACGTTTGGAATTTGATGAAGGATATATGAGTATTAGTATTGTTGTAGTAATTTAATTTGTGTAATATTTATGTGTTCATGTGAAAACTACACTAAATATAGTGTTATTTCAATACCAAAATGGTGTTATGGTTGGAGATGCCCTATATATTTCCGTAATGGTCTCATATATGTAATCAATGCGTTTCGAAGAGCTATATCAGAAATTAAAATCTATATTTATAAGACATAAAAGTTAAGGACTAAAATGATAAAATAATAAACTAGTAAAATTATTTATAAGATATAAATAAATGTAAGGACCAAAATGCAAATAAAAAGATGAAACTTCAAATTTGAGGTTTTGAATAGTGAAACCTCAAATATAAGGTTTCACTATTCAAAACCTCAAAATATGAGGTTTTGAGGTTACTTTTGAAAAATAAAAAACCTCATACTTGAAGATTTGAGGTTGCCTTTGGAGATGCTCTAAATGAACAAAAAATTTATATAGTTGATGCTTATACGATATTTGGAAGATAACCAGAGAAAAAAAAAAACTAAAGACAGTTTAATAATCTCTTAAAAAATCATCTTATGAAAGTCTTATGCATCTTCAACATGAGCCAGGTAAGCTTGTAGCTGTGCCTACGAGAATCCATTTCAAACTGAAAGCAGCTACTTGGCAAGAAGGTCTGGATTAGTTGATTCAGTAAAGAATGTTCCTTATTATTTATTAAACTGTTATGGAGAGTATTATGTACTTTGGAATTGGAACAAAGCTAGATTTTCATATCTTGTTAGTCGACTTAGCATTCATGAGCAAACATATTTAGAAAACATTGTCAAGCAGCCAAGTAGTCAAAT